GGGGCGCTGGTACCAGTATGGGTGTGATGGGGTGCTGGTACCAGTGCCGGTGCTGGTACCAGTATGGGTGTGACGGGGCGCTGGTACCAGTATGGGCATGACAGGGATGTGACTGGTACTGGTAGAGGCACAACACAGGGACCGGTACCGGTGCCACTGTGAGTACAACAGGGGCACCAGTACCAGTATTTGTACTGGTGCTGTTGCTTGTGTGATAGGGGCACCAGTATTGTTTTTCTTACTGGTACAGTCGTAGGCACGTTAGGGACACCAGCGCTCATACTGGTGTCTGTGGTCCTGCCAGGAGCACCAGTACTGGTGCTCAGGCCCTTGTGACTGTGACGGGCACCAGTATCCATACTTGTACTGGTACCATTGAAGGTACAGCTGGAGCAGTGGAACTTGAACTGGTACCATCGTGGGCATGACAGGAGCACCAGTACTGGTATTGTACTGGTACCATTGTGGTCACCACATGGCATAGGCGTGATGGGGAGGACACTGGTATCAGTAATGGCGTGGGATTGGTGGAGCATTGGTACCAGTACAGGGTTGGTAGCGGTACTGGTGCACGCATGCAGCAGGGGCACCGGTACCAGTACCACTGTGGGATCAGTAGGGTATGGTAGTGGAAATGGTACTGACATGGATATGAGCCTTGCACTGGTACTGATACTGGTGTGGGCACAGTGAGGGCACTGGTGCCGGTTCTGGTTACCAGCAGAGGAGGGGCGCAGGCACAGCAGCAGTACCAGTACAGGCACCACTTTCCCAGCACTGGTACCAGAATGGCACTGGTACTGGTAGGAGAGTGAGCAAGGCCGGGGCACAGCTGCTACTGCCAGTACCAACACAGAGGGGTGCAGGCGTAGCGCACAGATGTGGCACCGGCACTGGTTCCAGCACAGCACCAGTGCCAGCAGGCACTCTCTGTCTTGCAGGGCTTTCTTCTGGCTGGTATCACTGCTGCTCTCCTCCCTCATCTGGTTTATCGCGGTTAAAGCCAGTGACCCCCGGGATGAGCCCTTGCAGAAGGGGCTTTTGATATTTGGGGTGATGTTCTCTGTGCTGCTGCAGGAGGCCTTCCGCTTCCTCTACTACAAGCTCCTCAGGTAAGGGCATCTCCCACCCTGCTCCAGTGCCGCCAGATGGTCCTCTCATCCTTCTGTCCTCCCAGTCATGGTGGGTACCAGATTTCAGCTGGGAGCTCCTAGGCTAGGGGGGATGCCAAACGGGGCACCAAGCCACCTCGGTCCTCGTTGAGAGCGTGCAGGTGGTACCTGTGTCAGTATGTTGACCTCATGTGGGTCTCAGGTGGTGGAGCAGAGCAGCCCTAAGGTCTGGAGGACCCAGGGCTGGGGTGGCTGGTAGCATCTCCCTGAATTCGGGATAGGTAGGCTGTGGGTTTGGGCTGCTGTCGGACGTGTCATGTCCTCTCTGCCCTGGTGACTAACACCAGCAGTGCTCCTGCAGCTTGGGGGGATGCCAGGCACTGGGAAATGCCCGCTTTGCTGGGGCCGGGGGGAGAGAAGGGTTAGGGATCTGCCCTCACCTCCTGGCAAGTTTTGTTCCTTTCATAGGGATGATTTTGTGTGAGCAGGGACAGCTTGAAGTTGGTTTTGGGGCTCTGTGGGGTGGCACATCACCACCAGCACTGTCCTTCGTGCCCTGGCCGGCCCGGGGCAAAGTCACGATGCAGCCTCAGCAGCTCCCGGCCTCCCTGGTGCCACCAGCCTGGAGCGCAGGGGCTTGTGCTGTCCACCGGGTGAGCACACACTGCACCCTTTCCTTTATTTGGGTGGACAGACAGGTGCTGCGCTGGGGCTGGGCAGGCGGACAAGGGGAGGTGATGCTGGGGTCAGCATCCCTCATACCCCCTAGCCTTCCTGGCTGGCTGGGCCCTGGCGAGGACCTGGGGGAAGGCCGGAGGGGACCGGGTATGCAGGCTCAAAGCGCTCCCTGCGGCAGGGCACTGCCGGAGGCGGGCAGGCAGAGGGTAGCAGAGCTACGCGGAGCAGCCTCTGACACAAACCACTGTGTTTCATTTGCCCTGTGGATCTCTGGTTGCAAGCGCTGCTGTCCTCCCCGGGCTGAGGAGCTGTCGGGCATTCTCCTCACTTACCACACCTCTAGCTGATAAAAATTACGAAGCCCACCCTCTCCCAGTTTCTCTCCCCAAAGAATTTTTCTAGTTCTTTGAGCTCTTCCCTGCACCTCCTCCATTTTTTTTCAGTATCTTCGAAGAGTATAAGTGCAGAGATCAGGTACACCCTCCTGGCATGTGTCTCCCACACCTGCACTGGGGCTGCTTTCAATGTAGGAGTGCTTCTTGCTTTGCACTCAATGTCCCACTCACCCCAGCCCTGCTTTGCGGAGCTGGCTGGCACTCACATTCCTTTGTAGAAAATCTTTCTGTGTGGCTTCGCGTGGTTTTCACGTGCATGGTTTGTCTGGTCGTTCATGGCAGTCACTCAGATGCTCTCCATGATGGGTGTTGCAGCTCAGTGATGGGGAGGTTACCAGGAGGGTGGGATGGTGCAGAGTGAGACCCCAGCCTGCCTGTTCCGTCCTGGTGCTGCACCATGCCTTGGGAGGTGGCTGGGCTGCGCCAGGCTCCAGCATGCTCTCACCCCACAGGAAAGCCATCGAGGGGCTGGTGGCCCTCAGCGAGGATGGCTGCTCCCCCATTTCCATCCAGCAAATGGCATATGGTGAGTGCTGCACAGAGTGGGGCACCCTGACCAGGGGGCCAGGGGCGAGCCCAGGCAGGGCTGGGCATGGTGCTGAGGGGAAAGGGAGGTCTCTCACGCCGAAGCTGGCTGGTAGGTGCCTGGGGTGGCCTTGGGGGGCTCAGGGCCTGACGATGTCCCTGGCCTGGCAGTGGCTGGTGTGGGCTTTGGGCTCATGAGCGGCGCCTTCTCCATGATCAATCTCCTGGCAGACGCATTAGGGCCTGGCACTGTAGGCATCCACGGGGATTCACAGCTCTACTTCCTGACCTCAGGTGAGCATCCAGCAGCCTTTGCTCATGTCTCTGCGCCACCACCAGTGTCAGAGGCAGCAGACCTGGGAGGGCTGGAGTCTCCTCTCCGTGCTACCCCCTCCATGCTGCACCCTCTATCCATCTGAGCCCCTTACAGCCCCTGTCACATGTCTCTGTGCCCAACCCTTCTTTCTGTCCCCTGTGACCCTCTCTCCTCTCCTCCATCCCTCCCACAGTCAGGGTCTGCCACAGCACCTCCCAGTCTGGCCCAGCAGTGCCCCTACTCCCCTTTCCCAGCTCCTCTCCATCCCTCCCCAAGCCTGCAGGCCAGGTCAGCATGAGTGGTTCCCTGGTGACACTCTTCTGCTGATCCCTGCAGCTTTTATGACCATGGTGCTGATTTTCCTTCATACCTTCTGGGGGATCCTCTTCTTCCACGGTTGTGAGCATCGGCGCTGGTGGGAGATCACGGCGGTTGTTGTAATGCACCTCGCTGTTTCAGGGTCGGTGAGTAGCTGGGAGCAGAGCTCTGCACCAGGACCTATATTCAGGGACAGCTGCGGTGCATGCTGGTCCCCGTGCTGGGCAGGGAACAGCCTTCGGCACTAGCGAAGCAGTTGGGTTTGGGGAACTTGCAGCTGGCCCTTCACAAACTGAATCCTGTAGCTGGTGTTCCCTGTGTCACTCCACAGATCGAGGCAGCGATGCTGCCACCCATCCTGTCTCTGTCCTCTCCTGCCTGCTCACCCCTCTCCTCTCCCGCCTCTCTCCCCAGACGTTTTGCAACCCCTTGTATGTGGGCAGCCTGGTGCCCTCCTACCTGCTGATGGCTGCTGCTGCTGCCTGGGCTTACCTGCTCTCAGGGGGATCTGCCCAGAACGTGCGGCGCTTCCTGCTCTGTAAGTCCTGCTCTATAAAGGGGATGGAGGACCCTATGGGTCCCTCTGGGTACCAGCACTGGCACTGGGATGGGGAGAGGGTTTCCCTGGGGCTGGAACAAGGGCATCAACCCCTTGGCTGCCAGACTGGAGGAGAACCTGGGTTTTGGGTCCATGATCAGGTTGTTGCTTTGCCTAGGGGAAGTGGATGGGGTAAGGAGTCTGGTGAAAACTGATGCCCTCTCCTCTTGGTTCCTGCAGGTCTACAGAGCAGAGCCAGCCCCCAGCCAGGATCCTGAGGCCTCATGGGATGTTCCTGTCCCCAGCCACCCTGCCCTCCCCTCCATCCTGGCGGCAAGAGCAGCTGTCACCTTCTCTGCAATATCTTTTCTCCTGGACTGAGGGACCCCAGCCAGTCCCAGCAGGGCAGGCGCTGGGGTTCGGCTGTGGCAGGCCACTGACCGGTGTGACTGGGACTGGCTCACTCCACTGCCCCTTTGGGAGCCCCTGGAGAACAGCTCAGTTTTAGGGGATGCGGTTTTGCTGGCCCTGCCACCAGCAGAGCCCCAGTTAGCCTGCCTGGGAAGGATGGTACCTTGGACTGCCAGAAGCCTGAGCCCAAAGAAACCCATCGCTTCTCCCCCCGCCACAGAAAATATGCTGTCCCCTGTACCCAGGGGGCCACACTGCCTCCTCACTGCAGGGTGGATGAAGTGGCTTTGCAAAGTGCTGCCATGCTCTGGGTGAGGGCTGACTGCTGTAGTGCTACTGTCTCTGCCTCCTTGCTCAGCCTCACTGCTCTGGGAGCCACGGCCCTGGTGCCGGACTGTGGCAGCTGCAGTGAGCCAGCATCGTGATGCAGGGAGGACAGTGCTGGGGAACTCGAGGGGACTGACAGCACCCAGGATGGGAAGAGGACAGGGAAAAGACAGTACCCAAAGGGCCCAGCAGATATGGAGGGTGGTGGAGGGCTGGGGAGGAGATGCAACCCTGCAGTTGGTGCCAGCACAGCTTGGGGAGGGGGTTCAAGGGGCCATTCCAGTGGATCATTGCCCTCTCCTGCACTTGAAGGGGGATTTTCAGGCAGGCACCAGCCCTGATGCTGTACTACAGGGCTGGGAGGGAGAAACTGCCATCGGGCTCAGGGCTGAGAAGGCAGTTTTATCCGCAGTGGGCTTTTATACCAATAAAAAGAAGTACCACAGACAAGTGGGGCTGTGTGTGGCAAGCGGTGCCCTCGTGGGGAGGATCTGGCAGTTGGAGACTGCAGTTGTCTGGAGGTCTTGCACCTGCTCTATCCATCCTAACAGGGTGGGCTCTGGTTTTACTGTTTTGAGGTGTAGGCTGCTGAACACTGGAGACCTGCAGGTTCCTCCCCTTTCCTGGACCTGGCTGGTTTCTTTTGGTTTTGGCATGGCTGTAGAGCTCCCTGGGGTTTAGCTTTAGCTGCACTAGAGCCACCAGGAAAGGTGGGAGGCAGCCATGGATCTGGGACCACTCCAGCTACAGTAGAGCTGAGGTGAGCCAAGTGGGGCTGGCAAGTGAGGAACGGGTGCCTCTGCCACCTTCAACTCTGCCTTTCTCCAGCCCTACCAAGCTGCGCCTGTGTTTTTCCAACAATTTGCACAAATAAGAGGAGGAAGACGTCCCAGAGCGAAGGAGGGCAGGGCTGGGCTGGGCTGTGCAAGGAGCCCTCCGCTGCTTGCTCTGGAGCTCTGCGCAGGGCACAGAGGCCGGTGCTGTCTCTGCCAGGAAGGGGTCCTATGCACCCCTCTCCGCTGCCTCACACCTTCACACAAAGACAGCAGAGAGCTATGGCACCATGGGAGGCTTTTACTTTTTTTTTTTTAATAATACATTTTAAACTTTTTTTATAACAAAAATATCTGGGGCCAGATGCTGCCCCAGGCAAACAGTCCATGTGAGCAACCTGTGCAGCTGAGGGATGCTGGAGTGCTGGCAGTCCCTTGGCCTGGAGTGGGAGTGAGCGGAGGTGGGCTGGCAGGATGAACCGGTGGGCCTGGGACTGCCACAGAGGCGTGGGGCTCACGCGGTGTTCTCAGTGGTTGCTGCTGTGTAGATAAACTTGGAAAAAGAGTCCAGCCTGGTGAGGGAGGAAGGGGGGCGGCGTTAGAGCAGGCAGGGGGGCCCTGCTAACCCATCTTGCTGCCCAAGAGACCACCCTTAGCCCCAATTCTCATGCCTTGGACCTGTTCTACCCACCCAGGCCCCCTCCTCCTGCAGCTCCCCATTGCTCACCGTGTGTTCTGGTTGCGGTGTTTGTAGATGTACAGAAGGAAGGCCAGTGCCGTAATGGCAAAGAGCACCCCGAAGAGCACAGCTAGTACATCCCCTGCAAGCCATGCACAGGCATGTTACACTGGGGATTGTCCCCTGCAGCTGCCGGCCGAGGGAGATGGGGCAAGGCTGGAGCAGGCCAGTAGCCTGAAGGCAGAGGGGATGCGGAGGCAGCAGCATCGGCTGAGCATGCTTACCTGCGTGAAACGAAGAGCTGGAGTGTCCTTCTGCAAGGGAGACAAATGAGAGGATGAGAGCCAGCTGCACAGATGCTAGGGTAGCCCTGCAAACCCACCGTGGCTGCCTGCTCCCCAGCTCAGCACATGGCTCCCAGGACCTCCCTTCCCAGGCAGGTACACCCTTCCATCTGCCCTCCCCTCCCCTTCTAGCCAGCCCCTCACCTACCTGCTGCTGCTGAGCCATCACCACCTGGAAGAGAGACAGCACAGTCAGAGGCTGCCCAAGGTGTTTGGGAAGTGTCAAGTCTGCAGGGATTCAGGCCACGCTGCAAGACTCCCCATCACCCAGGAGCAGGCAGGGGAGCGCTGCCTGCCAGATCCCCAGCAGCTCGCAGCATCTTGCTGCAGGAAGCCTAGCCCTGACACCCTGCCAGAAGCATCAAGGGAAGGGGGGGGGGGGGGGGGGGGTGGGGTGTGGGGGGGGTGGGGGGGTGTGTGTGTGTGTGTGTGTGTGTGAAGTATCCCTAAACCACAGCCCACACGAAAGTCTCATTGAACCCAGCCAGAAACTCCCCCATCGCTGCTGCCACCGCCCGGGAAGTGGGCAGGCAGGGCGCTGAGCCCTGTGGCACCCCATGACTGCACCAAACCCTGCAGGAGACCCTGGAGAGGGACATGGGGTGAGCCCCGCAGACAGCAACCATGGGAACGGTTGCCTGCAGCGAGATGGTAAGCAGCTCCCTGGGAGGAGGCAGCTGGCCATTGCTGCCAGGGCACCCCACATGGGGGGTAGCTTGGTGGCCCTACATGCTGGCAAGGAGCTGCGCTGGGCAAATATTTATCCAGTGTGACAGCATGGCTTTTAAACAGCTGCATTATCATCTGTACACAGCTCGGGTATCGTGCGCCGAGTGGCACTATCTGCGGGCCATATCCAGCTGCGTGGCCACTGTGGGTAAGTCACTGCCTTCGCCCAGCAGCCAGAGGCAGGAGCGGTTCTCCTGAACTGGGGTGACTGGGGAAAGATCAACAAGCGTGGGCACAGGAGGTGCAGCTGCAAGCGAAGCGAGGTGTGACCCCACAGCACTCCATCTTGGTGCTCGACAGACCCAAAGCTGTTATCATCAGCACTGAGGTGGGGAGAAAACTTCAACAACCCCACACACGCAAGGCAGGGGGACCAGTAACCTTGTCCAGGAGTACTGGGACAGGGTCCTGGCACTCCAGGGACAAGGGCTTTGTGGCTTTGTTAGAGCGGGTGTTGTTGGATAGAAATAGCAAGTAAGGAAAGAAAAACAAAAAAGGTGAGCTGGGCAACACCCCCCTTGCCCCAGCCTTGCTGTCTGGAGGCTTTGGAACAGCTTCTGCAAGAAAGTGGTAAAAGAAAGGCTTGGAGGTACATGGAAAATATGATAAAATATCTAACAGGTTTACCAAAGATAGAGCATGCCAGCCTAACCCGATATCCTTCTTTGATAAGTGATATTCTAGACAAAGAAAATGCGGTAGATTTTATCTCCCCTGACCTCAGTGAAGCATTTGATGCAGTGCCACATGGGAAACTGCTAGCCAGGCTGAAGACCACGGTGATTAAAAGCCTGCAGCCGTTAGCAAGCTGGCTGCAGGTGGGACGGTGAAGGGAAGTGCCTTGCACCATGGTGTGTGCTTACCGAGGCATTGCCCAAAGGCCTGGGACCAAGCCAGTGTGCTGTTTCTATTAGTCACCTTGACACAAGGTGTAGGAAATGCCATCAAAACAGAAAAGGAACAGGATGTTGGGCAGAAAAACCTCAGTGACCTCACAGAGCAGCAATGGGCAAGAATTCAGCGATATTCACACCTGAGGACTAACAGGAATTTCTACTCATCGCTGGAAACCACCAATGCAAGAAAGGTCTTTGAGGACAAACTGAGGACAGGCAGACAGGGATGCCTCAGGCAGGGTACCATGTGCCCAGCCAGGATGGTTGCATGGCCCCACTAGCAGAGCATGGCCTTCAGGAGGGTTCTCCTGCACTGCCCTTCCCACAGGGTTTGGCAATGGGGTCTTGCTGCAAGCCTGTACCTCTGCAGCTCCTACTGAATTTAGCTATTTAGTGTTTGGGAATGAAGAAACTAGCTGGGATGCTCGGACTTGGCTGTCTGCCCTTGACCTTACATCCCCTAGTCCCCCTACTGTTATTTGTGCAAGACCAAGGATAAAACAGTTCCTAGAAACCGATCTTCCTCAGGCAGGGTAAGAGAAGTGCAGAAAAGAGGGAGAGCAGGACCCCAAGACCAGTGCTGCCATAAGTCACCTGCCCGGCAGGGATAACCCATGCAAATGCTGCATTTCTGCAAGAATCATAGAATCATTATGGTTGGAAGAGACCTCAAAGGTCACCAAGTCCAACCATATACCTGATGCCACCATGTCCACTAAACCATGTCTTGAAGCGCCACATCTGAACATTTTTTGAACACCTCCAGGGACGATGACTCCACCACCTCCCTGGGGAGCCCGTTCCAATGCCTAACGACTCTTACAGTGAAGAAGTTCTTTCTAATGTCGAGCCTGAACCTCCCCTGGCACAACTTGAGACCGTTTCCTCTTGTCCTATTGCTAGTTACCGGGGAGAACACACCAACCCCCACCTCACTACACCCTCCTTTCAGGTAGTTGTAGAGGGCGATCAGGTCTCCCCTCAGCCTCCTCTTCTCCAGACTAAACACCCCCAGCTCCCTCAGCCGCTCCCCGTCAGACTTGTGCTCCAGGCCCTTCACCACCTTCGTTGCCCTTCTCTGGACTCGTTCCAGCACCTCAATGTCCTTCTTGTAGTGAGGGGCCCAAAACTGAACACAGCACTCGAGGTGCGGCCTCACCAGTGCCGAGTACAGGGGGACGATCGCTGCCCTGGTCCTGCTGGCCACACTATTCCTGATACAGAGATGCGAAGCCTTAACTCCTGCTCCTCACCCCATCTCTGCATCCTTGCAGCTGGGTGCAGCCTGAGCACACTCATGCATTCCTTACCAGGAGGCAGCACCTTCGTTGAAAAGAGAGTGGTCTGGAAACTCGCCAGCACCCGTCGCCCATTCAGGTCCTGCACTGGCCTGTAATTGTTCTGCAGACGTTTGCTGTCATCATTTCTCAGGCTCATCACCAGCATTGACATCTGGAAGGAGAACAGCATGAACAGAGTGGGGTGCATCCTGCCTTCAGAAGCCGGGCGAGCCACAGGGGACCAGCATGGACGGTGCATGCTGGCAGGGAGAGGCTGGGCAAGACCCAGTGTGGAGCTCATTGCCCTGACGGACCTGGTCATAAGAAAGCTGCATGGTCTGGTTGAAGACCGTCCACTTCACCGTTTGGTAGCAGGGAGGGGTGGTCAGAGAGCCATTGTAGTGGAAGTAGAGTTTCAGGTTGGCAGGCAGCAGACCTGCAATGTTGAATCCGGGTACCAAGACTTCCTCACCTGGAAGGAGAAACACCATGGGAGTGAGACTGGGGCAACCCCTTGGAGGACAACAGGCAGGACCAGCCTGGAGATCATGGGCAGCCTGGCAGTACATGTGCCAGGGTCCACACTGCTGCCACTGGAGAAAGAGCCGTGGGTTCGCCCTGCGGGCAGGGGAAAGCACGTGTGAGCAGAGGGCACCTTGGGGAGCTGTTTCTGTACAAGCTGTGCAATGCTCCCCTTCTCACACACACGGCAAACGCCTGCGGCAGCCTCTCTCTGCCGTGCAGCGGGCTCCTCTGCGGGGCTGCAGCCCCCGAGAGAAGTGCTAGGTCAGGGGTCAGGGCCTTACCTTCTCTTTGGATTTTGTACAGATGCTCAAGTATTTGCTCATAGTATGGGTTCTCCCTTGGCCCAACCTGCAACACAGAGACCCCCACAGTAATGACAAGGACAGAGACTGAACAGAGACTGGCCGGTGATAACAGTGTCGTCTTTCTCCGTAAGAGGCACCCTGTTCTGGTGACCCCTTCCTCCTGTCAGGGCTGCTCTGTCCTCTGGACTGCCCTCTCTCTCCCCTTCTCCCCATGACCATTTGCACCTTTGCCAGTCCCAAAACTGTGCCTGATTGTGCCCATCCCAGTCCCACCCTCTCCCTGCTCCTACCCCTTCTCACCCAGGATTGATCTATGAGACTCACCTCCAGGAAGGCTCCCAGTACGGCCAGTCCATCTGGGTGGACCATTGCCTCCTTAAAGCTGTCATACTTGGTGTTGTAGTGGACCACGTGGAGCTGGAAGGAAAACATGCAATCCTAATGCAGGATGGGCACCACAGGGAATGCTCACCCTCACAGAGCTCCAGCCTGCTGGAGCAAGGGCCAGGAGAGACATGCACCAGTGACAAGCATCCCTCCCAGGAGAGGAATACACTGGTGGGACCAAGAAAATGTGCTGCTGCAAAGTGGCAAGCATGAAGGTCTACCCACAGGAACTTCCCCCATCAGAGACAGCAAACCAGCTGCCCTAGATACCAGGGGATCATACTGCAGAACCAAGCTCAGTTTGAGGACAGCAGCTAGAGAAGGATGGACAAAACCAGATGGGAGCTGGCAGAGCAGGAGAACAGTGTATACAGAGTAAACAGTCCCTGCAGCTCCCAAAGCAGGCTGCTCACAGCCACCCGGGGAGCTGGCTCCCCCAGCCCAGAAACCAACACGGCTCCTGCTCCATCAGCCCAGGACCAAGCTGCAGCACGGGGACAGGCTGCACCACTCACGCATGGCCAGCCCCAGCCGACGTGTGGGCAGAGCATCCTGGAGGGTGGTCTCCTCCTCGCCCATGGACTGCAGGCTGCAGCATGAGTCTGGCTCAGCACCAAAGCATGGCTTCCTACACTGAATTCTGCTGCTGCAGCGCTGCCCAGGGAGCAGGGATCCTGGCCAGGGGTTATCGCATTCATTCATTAGGGGAGATCTGTAGCCCAGCTGAAGTGCATCTACACCAATGCACGCAGCATGGGCATCAAATAGGAAAAACTAGAAGCCGTGGTGCAGCAGGAAGGCTACGACACAGTCACCATCACAGAAACCTGGTGGGATGAGTCTCATGACTGGAGTGCTGCAATGAATGGCTGTAAGCTCTTCAGAAGGGATAGGCAAGGAAAGAGAGGTGGCGGAGTGGCTTTATGTGTTAGAGAGTGTTTTGACTGCCTTGAACTTAATGATAGTGATGATGAGGTTGATTGCCTTTGGATAAAGATTAGGGAGAAGGCCAATAAGGCAGATATCCTGATGGGAGTCTGTTACAGACCACCCAACCAAGATGAAGAGGTGGATGAAGTGTTCTACAGGCGGCTGGCAGAAGTCTTGGAATCACTGGCCCTTGTTCTTGTGGGGGACTTCAACTTACCAGACATCTGCTGGAAATACAACACAGCAGAAAGTAAACAGTCCAAGAGGTTCCTGAGGACCAGGGCAGTGATCATCCCTTTGTACTCCGCGCTGGTGAGGTCGCACCTCGAATACTGCGTTCGTTTTGGGCCCCTCACTACAGAAAGGACATTGAGCTGCTGAGGCGAGTCCAGAGAAGAGCGACAAAGCTGGTGAAGGGCCTGGAGCACAAGCCTTACGAGGAGCGGCTGAGGGAGCTGGGGTTGTTTAGTCTGGAGAAGAGGAGGCTGAAGGGAGACCTGATTGCCCTCTACAACTACCTGAAAGGAGGGTGTAGTGAGGTGGGGGTTGGTCTCTTCTCCCCAGTAACTAGTGACAGGACAAGAGGAAACGGTCTCAAGTAGCACCAGGGGAGGTTCAGGCTGGATGTTAGGAAGAACTTCTTCACTGTTAGAGTCGTTAGGCATTGGAACGGGCTCCCCAGGGAGGTGGTGGACTCACCATCCCTGGAAGTGTTCAAAAAACTTCTAGATGTGGCACTTTGAGACATGGTTTAGTGGGCATGGTGGCATTGGGTATATGGTTGGACTTGATGATCTTTGAGGTCTCTTCCAATCATAATGATTCTGTGATTCAGTGACAACCAGGGCCATGGGCTAGGAGCAAGACAGGACTTTGGCACCTTCCCAGCCCAGCACTAGGAGAGGAGAGGATACATCCACTGCCACGAGAGTTCCTTACCTCTGCAGCAAAGCGGCGCCCGTTGATGGTGTGCTCCGAGCCAGGTCCCGACGGGGAGCCCCAGTGCAGGTGCAGCTGCACAGCTCGGTGCTGCTTGGCATAGCCGCCAGTGATGGTCGGGCAGCTCGAGGAGAACTGCAGAAGCAGAAGGAAAAGGTCAGTTAATAAGACACAAAGGCCAGTCCATCTCACAGATACACAAAGGAGTTGTCTCAAGGGAAAGTCACCCTGGGCTTGTGGAAACTGGTCACAACAAACAAACTTGCTTTCCGTCTTTCATGAGGCTATGGGCGAGGCAATACCCAGAGTTGTGCCAATGAGACAGGGCTGTTGAGGTTCAGGTTGTAGGACACCCCAGTAAATACATGAGCTTCAAAAATAACTGCTATGAAAATGCTGGAAAGTGAAGAGCCCCTCTACAAAGACTCCCAGGGGCCAGCTCCAAGCCAAATCTTATCCAACAATTTATTCAGTAAGGAAGAATAATATAAAGAGACCGTGGACAAAATTCATGGAGCAAAATATTGGCTGAGTGGTGAATTACTACGAGCAGGGCAGTTGAACAGAGAGCTCTGCAGCCTTTGGTGAGCTGGGACCTTTCAAATAAAGCAGCCTGTCAGCGTCTGACAGCACTGGAGCTGGTGGCATGGAAGCATTAAATCTTTTGAAAGCATTTACAGCTAAAATTTTACCTCTTTGGGTACAGTAAAACATACTTGGTTTTGCCTTTTACTTTAAAGTGGTTTAGCCAGCTCTCTTGCACTCATGCAGCAGTGTGTCAAATCTAAAATCTGAGTTACCTGGACGTGTGGCAAAAATATCAGGAGCTTCCCTGGACCCTGAGAAAGGCTGTCCTATCCTTCTAAGCACCTTTTGTTCATCTTTAATATCAACTCTTTTCCTTCCTCCTTCTTTATAGGTGAAGTGTCCCACATCACCGAGCTAAGGCACAGGTTTAGGATTAACCACGTAACAGGGCTGTGATGAGTCATTTGCCCTCTCCCATGTTCCCTGTCACTGGGTTCAGAGAAACAAAACTCAAATATGGGAAGTGGGAGCTTGCTCCCTCCCTGGGAATTTATCTGCTTTTACATTTCTTTTGTATATCTAAATCATTCATTCCTTCTACTATCTACCTGAGTCATTTACAGGCCCTTGAAAAAGCTTATACAGCATATACACTTCATATTACAAAAAACAATAACGGTACAAATATCTTACTGGACTTGCAATTCTTTATTTATTTATGGCTTTTCATAAAGCAGACCGGTATTTGACAGAATAAAAAAAGGCATCTCATAAGCATGTGAGAAACTACTTTCCCCCCCACCCCACCAAAAACACTCTGACTGCTTTTCTAAACACCAAGCAACACCAGATGCCAGGGTGTCTAAAATAGCAACTACTGAGCTCGACTAGTTTAACTCTGCAGGCACGCTAGGGCAGGAGGCTGTAATACAAAGCTCTGTGCATGCACTGTGCAGCTGACCTGACCACGCACAGCGAGTCCAACCTGTTGCGTTTGCTGTATACACAGGTCAGCTCCATCTCACCAGCTATCAAGGCAAAGAAGTGCCTTATCACATCATCAGAGAGTTTTTAAGTCCCTTTCTCTGCCACATTTTCTTAGCTCGGGGACTGGCAGACACCAGCGTGCACAAAACACTTGGCTTGCTCCCAAAAAAGCAGGCAGCAACCAGGACCCACCATCCCCAGCTGTGGGGTGGTGAGCAGGAAGGATATGTGATTTTCCTCCATTATCTGGCATGGTGAGACTGATACTAAAATAATGTGAATAAGTTGTGTCCAGACTTTCCAAAAAACATTCTAAAATTGGAGAAGGGAAACAAAAGACCTATAAAATTTTCTTAAGATCTTGAGGTAGCATCCTGAAGCACAGACTTAAAGAAGTTGGCCAATGTTGTGTCCTAAAAGACTGAGTGGTAGGTACCTTAAAGGCTAAGTCACATGAGAGACTGACTAGTCCTTTGAAAGTCAAACGCAGGGGAGGAACCAGTGGCTGCAAACCTGCATCAGAAATACCAGGGACACATATTTAAAGGAAATATGGGTTTAAAAAAATTCCTGGAGACAGCTCCCAAAGACAGTGAGTGGCAAATTCTCCACCTCCAGGTTTCTCCCCTCCAGCTCAACAGACCAATGCTTCCCTTTTGGCCTTGAAGGTGACATGACTGCAGCCTGCAAGAGAGTCCCCTTCCCAGAGCCCAGGGGAAGGGTACTAGAGAAGCCCAGCCCTACCGAGAGAGGCTGAGCGGGCTCTGCTTGTGCTCCAGCCTCTCCCTGTGCCTTTGCACCCACCTGTGTGCCCATTGTTCCTCAGCTTGAGCTTCTCGTTGGCAGGCAGGCTGTAGCCAGAGAGCTGGATCGGTCGTAGCTGGGGGCTGAAGATGGTCTTGGCCGTGTCAATGTTGACAGGTGACTGCATGGTGCCTGTGCAGTCTGGGTAGTCCACACCCCAATGCTCCTGGTCTGGTACAAGGAGGAAGGGAGGGAGTGCCAGTGAGACCACCTGGGCAAGGAGCTCACCAGAAAGGAGGTTTGATGGGTGGTGGGGAAGGGGACAGGCACTGGTCAGGGAATAAGCCATGCATGTAAGGTTAGTTTCCATCAAGTTAGCTTGGGAGCAGCTCTGTGCCACCATGTGACTGCGTGCAGCTGTATTGGGAAAGGTCTCGGAGCGTGGTGAGCTGCCAGGAAAGTCTATTTTTGGGGTGTTTCAGAAGAGCGCAAGAAGATCATTTACAAGTGGACTTGGCAAGCTGAGGAGCTGCTGCTCTGCAGCTCATCACACGCTTGCTGTCTTGCACAGCCTGGCCTCTGGCAGGTATCGACCCACCGATTCACCCATGCTGCTACTCCAGCAAGGTACTACAGTGTTGCTGGGATCACAAAAGCCCACAGCCACAGGTCTGATGGGTTCCTGGCTGTTAACTGCATCGGTGCAGCCCTGCAAAGGGCCAGCTCACATGGCTGGGGTGGCTGCTTAAACTGCCACATCTGCGCAGTGCCACAGCTGAGATAAGCAGAGCTGACTCCCCAGAAACCTCCCTGCACTGCACAGGGCTGCTTCTAGCACATCCTGGGCCAGTGCAAACCCAGGCTCGTCCTCAGGCCAGCCCCTTGCAGGACCCTCATAGAGATGGAGTTGGGCATTAGCAGGTCCAAGCCAGCCCCTGGTCCTGAGCAGAGTGATGGTGTTGTAGCCTGGCCCATCACCAGAGCAGGAAGGGGTGTGTTTGTGCTAGCACTGCGGTGATGCCCATCACAGGTGCTGTGGAGAGGCCCCCCAAGCCATGATGGAAGGGCAGAGCCAGGCAGGATGGGGAGGGAGAGTGACAGAGGACAGAGGTGAGGACACAAGCTAATCCCTGGGCAGGTCAAAGTCCCAGCATAGGCTGCAAGTCCAGCCTGGAGAGCCCAGCCTGCATCCTTGCTTGGCACAGGATCAGGGGAGTTCATGTTGAGGGAGAAGCCCTGCCCTGAGGGGCATCCCCCCACACCCAGGGTGCTGGGGAAACCCTCGGCAGAGCCGCTGCTTCCTGCTCAAATCAGAGCAACCCCAGGCTCGTCAGCGCATCCGTGCCCAGGTTGGGGCACGTGCGTCAGGGTCAGGCAGGAGGGAAGGGTGAGCCGTGGAGTACGCACAGGAGCCCTGTAATCATTAACCATGGCTGGCTCAGGCCCAGGGTCTGCCAGGTGGTAGGAAAAAAGCTGCAGTAACTGCAGGGTATTTACCTTCATAGCTCCAGTGACTGTGTCCAGGACCTTGAAAAAAAAAAAGGGGAAAAAACCACACATGAATGGAAGGGAAAGGTTGGCAGCAAACACACCCCTGCCAGGCAGCGCTCCTAGCCCCAGCAGCAAGTCTCTGGGCTCCCACTGCCTTCAATCCCCCTTCTCCCCCTGCCCCAGCAAGGGGGATGCTCCCATAGGGCACTGCCTCCTGTAAGCAGGGCCAAGTCTCCTGCAGTCATCGGTCACAGAGAAAACCCTAGGGCTTGATGCTTTGTTATCATCCTTATAATGGAAAAATCAGAGATACTGGCTTCGGTCACTGAGCAGCTGTACCAGCGCTCTTGCAGCTACTCCGGAACAGCCAAAATCTCCCACTTTCCCAAGACTAAGCACTTAACTAGGCAGGTCTGCAGCTTCCCTGCTCAGACTCTGTAAACCAGCTCAGCCAGGGAAGTGCCTGTCCTGGTGGCACTCCTACGATCCTGAAGTGCTGGAGGGAGTGTGGGGAAAAGCAGCTCCCACACCACAAGGAGTTTGGGCAGCAAGCTGCATTGCGCCACAGACACCCTCCTCCTACCAGGGAAAGCAGCCCTGGAACTCACAGCAGAGGAAGCAAAGGAGCACCAAAACCTTGTCTTCCTCATCAGCAAGAGCCCCTACCGTGGGGGCAGACTGCCACAGGAAAATGTGCCAGACCAAACACCCAGCTCCTGTCCTGGCAACTCCCTGCCTCAACTCACCTGACCATCCAAATTCCCACGCAGAGCTGCATAGGGGTCCTACCATGCACAAACCCTTTCCCTAGGAAAGGCAGAAGGGAGGATGGGGGAGCCCATGCTGGGCCTTTTGCACATCCCATGTCACCCGTGGGGCACTCAGCGGCCATGGCAGGGCAGGATGCGCCCGGAGCCTCCCACAGCTGGGGGTGTCCCGGTGCACAGATCTAGAGGGAGAAAAACCCTCCTGGGGCAGATCCTGAGGGTACAACAGCGCTCCACACATCGCCCCTCCCACCATCACTCTCCTCCAGAGATGCCAGCAAAGCCCAGAGCTCCCCGCATGTCACTGGAGCTGGGCTTAGAGGTGTCCCAGAGCCTCTTCTCAGATACCCCTGACCAAACACCTTGGCTATCACCAGCCCTTCTGCATGCAACCAGCTCCAGTCAAAGGGATGCAGGGCTTGGATTTGCCCCAAGCAAAGAAACATGGCCCATAAGGATTGTTCCCCTGCCCTGACCGGCACGACAGGTAATTCATAGGCTCCTCCTCTGACTTGTCCTTACCAGCATACTCGTCATTGCAGACAGGCAATTGGCACATCCCAGCTCACGAGGGCAGGAATGGAGGGTGCCAGGTTGGGACAGGTTTGTGGCAAAGGGGTGCATGCATCCAGCAGCAAGGGGCAGCATCTACAGCTGCTGCGATTAGCTCCCCAGGGTGCAAGGACATGGATGAGCACTTAGCAGGTGCAGTCCAGCCCCAACACCATCTCTGTCTCTTGGCAGAGCCAAATGCCTGCCAGGGCACAGGAAGGGTGCAGCAGGCACTGCTCTGGTCCCCATCCCTGCCACTGACAACAGCTATCGACAGCCACTTGCTATTAATAGGAGTGAATTCCAGCTCAGGGGTGAGAAAGGAAGAAGCACACTTTCCCAGGCCCAGATGTCCTATGCAAAGCCCCAAGCCCAGCGGGATCCTGCCCTCCTCTCAGTGAGGATCCAGGCACGGGCACTGCTGGGGGCCTTTGGTGCAGCTGCCGCCCTAGAGAGCAGATAGCCATGGCAAAACTGGGCTGGGAAGGGCTGGAGGGTGCTTAGGGGCATCAGGAGTTGCAGAGATGGGAACAGCTCCGGGGGGTCCCTCCAGCATTGCAGGTGATTCATCTCTGCAGCACTTCTGATGCCCAGGAGTCACCTGCCCAGGCGCAGGGTACTCCCAAAGGCATATGAAGATGGGGCAGCAAGTAGAGGGCTGGGCAAGCCACAGCTGCCATGCTCCAGGCAGGAAAATGCGTGCCTCAGGGCTGCAGTGCCCTCTCCATGCCTGCTTGCATGGCACTGCCCTGGCATGCACCCAGCTGTGCTGCAGCAAGCTGAAATTCATCCTGCCCGCCTTGCTCACACAAAGGTTACCTGGTCCCCAGACACTGATTATGCCCCAAAATCCAGTGTACACCGACCCTCCTCTGGAAAGACCCCCTATCTTCCTCCACCCTGTCCCCGCTCTCCTGCCCTACCCGGCACTATCTGCACGAGGTGGTCATGGCTTGCAGACAAGAGCCATGTTCAGTGCTTCCTAGGCAGGATTCCCCTCCTGCAGCTCAAGGGTGTCTATCAGCACAGGGAGCTGCCCTGAGGGGCACTCTCAGTGGGACAGTCCTGGCACAGGTAAGGCACAACAGCCCGGGGCTGGCACACGGTGCTTTGGCTCGCTGTACAAGCCTCAACTGGCACGGCCTCCCCCGGCACCCCACTTTCTGCTTACCTCCAGGGATTCTGCCTTGACAGAAAGCAACTTGAACATCATATCGTAGATTGAGCAATGGCACCGTGCTGACACCTGCCCTCCTGTGTCAGCACTGTGCCACGTACCCCAGGCTCCGACGTCCCCCTCCACACCTGTCTGTTCCCACAGCCAAAGGGGCTCTGGACCCTCCCCTCACAGCATCCCACCAGCTCTGCTCAGCAGTTTTGAACACCCCAAAGGCTGCACCCAGGAGTCAGTCCGATCCATCCCAACACAACAGACCTCCCCAGGGGTCTCTTGGCATCAGAGCGAAGAGGACCCACAAGCACTTATCCACGCACTGAAACCACTCGAGTGTGTTTCCCCATCCTGTGAATCTGGGAGCAGCTACAGCACAGCCAGGCCACCCACTCAGGGAGGCATCTCGCAAGCCCATGTCTGCAGGGTTGGGCCCCCTTGGCACATGCTGGGGAGCCCAGCCTGAGCTCTTGGCATCTGCCCCAGCCTCAGCATGGCTCCGAGGAACCCTGCAATACTCCGGTCCCTTCCACGTGGGGGCATTCGCAATCTTGCAGCCCTTTGTCATGAACATTAACCCACTGCCCTGCCCAAATGTCGATTTGCATAATTTCAGTCTGCCTCCCACACTCCCCACCGGAGCACGTCTTCATCCTCAGAAAGCTGCATGGTGCCAGGTCTCCTTTCCACCGAACTGCTGCCGCTCACCACAACAGAGGTGGCTGCACCTTGGCAGTGGGTGCTGCAGCTCTTTGTATGCCCTGCCCTACCTCTGAGCACCCACAGCCCTGGCAGGGACTGCAAAGCACTCCCAAAAACATGGGGGGAAACAACTCTGCTGCTCCAATGAGGGCACTGGGAGATAACATGCAAGAAGAGGATTCCTTGCAGGGGTCCCAGCAGGAAAATGTAGTGGGGTACCAACAGGAGCTGCCTGCCCTTGCAGGCGAGGAAGCCTCCTTTCTCAGACACGCAGAGCCCTCCCGGACCAGCTGAGCACTAAACGCCACCCCCCTTCCCCCAGCAGCCTGCGATCCAGCCAAGTTTCCCCCTTTCACTCCCTCCTTCATGCTTTCTCCCCCTTTTGCCCGCTCCCTCTTGGCCCTCCCATTTTGGGATACTGGCGCTGCCTTAAGGGTCAGCTCCCTTCCCTCCTTGACATCCAACACCATCCAACAACACTTTCCTACCGAGTTCAGGCAGACGCTGCCATTACCAGCGTGCTGCTCGGCATGTCCTGCAGCCAGGAGGAAAAGTAGGAGCAGCTTTCGGCAGGCTGAGAAGCCAGCACAACCTGCTGCTGCGAATCCCATGTAGGAAAGGCACCAATGCAGCAAGCTGCTCCCAGGAGACCTCACCATGGGGACATAAGGATGGATCATGCACCCAAGGGACTCAGGATCATTTGCACAAAGTTCTTGCACCCCTCAGCAGAGCCAAGCAATAAGGAGGGAGACCAGAGGGTCTGCCTTATATATCTGCCTCCTCCATTCTCAGCTTTTCACATTTTAGGAGGTACACAGCCTGGCAACACTGAAACGTGCGTGCCATTCACAGCAGCATGGCGATCAGGGCTGCCTGCTCACCTTGAACTCCAGCAGAAGTTCAATGGCTTGTGTGTGGCCGGCATGGCAGCAGGCTCGCTTCTGGCTCAGACATCCTGCTCTCTTATCAGCTGGGCACATGGTGCCCTGTACTCAGCCACAGAGAGCACTGGGATCCTGCCAGAGCCTCCTCTCACCGCTGCGACTCAGCCCTGGACCAGACACAGGTAAAAGCCCTGTGAATGAGGCCAGTTCACAGGGGATGCCAGGGCAAGACCACTTTGGTGTGCCCCTGAGGAAGAAGCCCCTGCCTGCAGATCAGTCCGAGGCTATGGGGGGACCAGTAGAGCTCACGGCCCAGAGAAGAGAGAAAGCAGGGTGTTATTCCTGATGCTCAGTGAGCCAGGAGGTACCAGGACATGCAGAAGCCACAACAAGCAGGTCCCAGCCTACAAAATACATCCAAGCACCATGTCCCTTGAAAGCAATAACCTGATTATGGTACCCAGGCTGTTCCCCTGTGCTCAGGCTGCCCACAGCCAGCTCCTCTGGCCAGTCTGTGGCAAACATGGCACAGGCATAGGGTTTGGGCAGCGGGACACACAACCCAAGCATCCTTCTGCCAAGCCCGGCAAGGAGCCTCTCAACAGGAGGACTGTGCCATCCCAGCTCTACATCCCCCAGCACAGCCCTGGTTTCTCAATCCAGATGGATACCACATGCAGCACCCATGTCCTTTCAGCCCAGGACACCATGCTGTGCTCTGCCCATGGAGGCACTGATCCCTCCCAAGCCTGGCTGCATTAAAGTCCCTTTGTGTTCATAAACTCTGACCCACTGCAAGCCTTTGGGATCAGCCTTTAATCTGCCACTGGTAGCACAGGTCACTGCAGGGATTGTTCTTTGTGCTCCTGGGGGAGAACTGCTTGGGCTGCGGGGCCCAAGACTGGGCCAGCTCCCCTCTGGAGGGACAAGGGTTTGGGTGGAGGAAGGCATAGGGCA